AGAGGCTCTGATTGGATGAGAGAGACAGAGCAAGTTAACAGGGTTACCGACAGATTTATCCCACCTGCCATCCAGGTGTTAAATCCAGATGTTTTCTGGGAATGCGTCTTTATTGTGTTTGTTTAACTGATGGAATATAAATAATTGTTTTTAAACAGATTTGTTATTTGTGAAAATAAACAGTGCGGTTGCCAAGGTTACCGGGCTGGGGCTTTGTCAGCTTCAATCTCCTCCAGTTTACCGTAAATCTCTGACAGCCGGACGCTCTCCATCCCGTCGGCTCTGAAACGACAGCAGTGATCAGAAGCCGCTCCTCTGACATCATCAAGGACAAACGGCCTCAAGCCGCGCCGTCACTGGTCGAGCTTCGGCTTCTTACGTTCCGTTGGCGATACGAGCGTTCAACCGCCGCTCCTCGTCCAGCAGGTCCTCTCGCAGAGTGTCGCTCTGCAGGACGCTCTGCAGCGCCATCGTCTCATCTCCCGCCACTTCCTGTTCCACGTGCAGGATGGAGATGTGCACCGGCACGCGGAGGTTCCGACTCGCCAGCATCTTCAGCAGCGTTGTCTTCCCCAGACCGTTTCGACCAATCAGACCATACCGACGGCCTGACGCCAGACATAGCTCCGCCCCCTGAAGCAGACACCTGAACACAGTGACATGAGCATGGGAATGAAATCTGATTGGTTGTGGCGGCTCCTGCTGTCTCTCAGTGGCTCTGTCCTCACCTTTCTCCAAAGGAAACGTCAAAGTTTTCTATCCGAATGTCGTAGCTCCGGTTCTTTCCCGATTGGTCAACCCGATTGTCCTTTTTGTTGCTCGCCTGACTGGCAGATGCCTCCTCCAGGACTCTAAGAGGACAGGTGAGGACAGGTGAGGACAGGTGGGAATAGGTGATCAAGGGACAGGGAGGAAAAGGACAGGTGTGGGACGCACAGTGGACCGGAGATTTTCTGAGAGTCCTTCTCGTTACGGCGCTCGGTTTTAGCTTTCAGCTTGGCTTCGGCTTTCTCCAACCTCTTGGCATCGACTGTCTGCAGAGAAACAGAAAACAGCAAAACATTTCAACTTTGACGATGGTTCCATCTGCCGGTCAGAGGTCATGGGGTTCCATCTTCTGTTGGGATCAGAAAACAAAACATGAGGATTCAGAAACAAATCAGAACCCAGTCCTGTTTTTCCTGCAGCTGGAGTCCAACACGCGTTCCTCCCTTTAACAGGAGGGTAACAAAGTTAACAAAATGGAACCGTTAAAACCCGACCGAAGGGTTAAAGACTCACCGTGTTTTGAGGACGTTTCATCATCCAGATCCCCTGAACGTCTTTGACTGCTGACACTGAGGAGAAACACACACACATCATCCAGCTCCTGCTGCGTTCACATCAGAGATGAACAACGGGAAGAACCGAGAGGAAATGCCTCCAAAAAATAATTTAACACAATAAATGACAAAGTCCTGGATCAGTGCCTTGTGGGACTCCATTAACGGACTTCAGGGTCTTACCGGAGTCTGCAGACATCTGAGACAGCTGGACCGGAGCGTCCAGGAGCATCTGCTTCTGCGACTGGCGATGGTTGTTCCTGATTAACCCAATCAATAATCAATCAATCAATCAGAACTGCTGACAGAACCGATCAGAACCCAGGAGAAAACCCGTCTGCTCACAGTTTGAGGCTGTTGAACATCTGGAGGCAGATGTCTCTGACGTCATCCTCGTTTTTACTGTCCGCCGACACATCCTGCAGGAGGCCACCGACGGCATCATACACCTCCTCGCCATCCTCGAAGTCTGTGGAGCTGCTGTCCAGAACACCTGGAACACAACCACATAGTTCTACGACAGGTGGGGAACATCCTGAAGGTACGACCACGTCATTCACTCCACCAACCGGAACATTAAGCCCACCCTGACAGTAACTTAACTGGACAAAATGTTCTGGCACAACAGTCCAACTAAGATCCGTCTGGTTCTGGATAAAGGCTCCAATCCTTACACGGGATATTTTTTTTCTGCTCCAACAACTTTAAGAACAAAAAGGTCACCTGCTGCCAGATAAGCCCCGCCCACTAACCGGTAACCACGGTAACCAGGTAATTACGTGTATGTCAGTGGTCATAATGATATGGCTGATCGGTGTATGCTCTGATTCTGATCCGACCTTTGCTAATAAAGTTTAATTAAAAATGACGTCACAGAAACTGACAGACACGTGCTGAACTCAAACCTGACACCTGATCATGAATCGGTTTTCCTGACGCTGAAACCGATTCCTTTTTTTTAGTATTTAGATTCTGCCTTTGTTTTAACCCGGGTTCGGTTCGGTACGCTTCGGTGTCCCGGCTCTCTGACCTCATCACCCCGTGCAGCCCAGCTGCCACAGCTATGCGGCCGCGGGCTACCGGGCGCTGCCGCCCGGCTAACCGGAGCACCAAAGGCCGCGTGTGGAGCTCCGCAGAGCCGGGGGCCACTGACTCTACCCCGCCGGCACTCAGCGGCTCTAAACCCCGACGGATGGCGGCTCTGTGCCCGCTCACTCACCTGTGATGTAGTCGAAAAGCTCCGTGTCGATCTCGGGAAACTCTGTCTTCAGGATGTCTACGTACGTCGCCATGATACCCGGCCCTGGACAGTGTCGACCGAAACGCGCATGCGTCAACTAAAAAAAACCGCTTTGAACTGTGGGGGTTGTAGTTTTTGTCTTTGACAACGTCAGAACCTGTTTCTAAAAATATTTTTACTTCCTGTATTTTTATCAGCTGTGCCACGTGAGCTGTTTTAAATGTTTCATAGTTTAAATGTATTATTTAATTAGCTTATAACGTCCCAGTTCACATCAGAGATTATCTGAGGTTCACAGAGTAAAAAAAACAAAATAATTAGGACCTTGACAAGAACACAATTTTTAGAGTACAGTATTACTGTGGTGTACTAATCTCAAATAATAAATATTTTTACTAAAATACTACAATTTTTCTTGCTAATTCTAGTCGTGAAAATCTACACATAAACCTATCAGGGATTTAATCTCTTACCGCACAGAAATACAGCCGTCTGAAAATTGTATTTTAAAAAATTAAAACATACTTTGATTGGAAATATCTAAATTAGTATAAAAAAAACAGGATGTGTGGTTTAAGCTTTATGAATAAAGTAACTCTTCAAGGCCATTTGGTTTAAATTCAATTCAGTTTATTTCTAAAGCGCCAAGTCACAACAGAAGTCGTCTCAGGGACTGAACAGAAACATTCAAATAATAAAATAATAATTTAACATTATTTATGTGAGGAGCAGACTGCTTTGAGTTTAACTTCATCACAGAACTCTCATCTTGAGCAAGTACGAAGGCGACGGTGGAAAGGAAAAACTCCTCTTCTTCTTCTTCTTCTTTTATGTTTAATGGCGGTTGGCAAACAACTTATAGGTGCATTACCGCCACCTTCCAGACTGGAGTATAGATTAGATGTCCTATCATTATATTCTCCCCATAATGCCTGACATCTTGAGAAACCTAAATATGCTGTTAAAAATTATATTTTCAGAAGATCTTTGCAGCAAATTTTTAACATCTAAATTGATTTTATTACTATTCATCTCTCTAATTAACAACTCTCTTTCCCGGCTGTATTTACTACATTCTAGAAGAATATGCTGCACCGTTTCTGACTCTCCACAAAAATTACACAAACCTGTACTATGTTTATTAATTATTTTCAGCGTACTATTCAGCCCCGTATGCCCAAATCTTAGTCTAGATATAATATCCTCTTCTCTTCTATTTCTATTTCCTTCCCTACATTCCCCTACTTTCCTTTGGATGCTATAATAAAATCTTGCCTTTTCTTCTCCATCCCATAATTCCTGCCATTTCTTTTTAAAATATATTTTACTTATACTTTTGATTTCATTTCTGCTTATTTTCATATTTACTTCAACCTTATCCCTTTTCGCTGCACTTTTAGCAAATTGATCCGCCAATTCATTTCCTATTATTCCAATATGAGCAGGAATCCAAATCAACTTTACCCTGGATCCAAACTCTTTAATTCTAAAAATTAATTGACCAATATTCAATATGATATCTTGTCTTGTATCTGAACTCTGTTCTAAAATACTTATTAATGCACTACTTGAATCTGAACAAATCAATATTTCCTTCTTTCCCGTTTCCTCACACCATTCTAGAGCCATTAAAATAGCCATTAGCTCACCTGTATAGACTGTCATTCTGTCTGTTACTCTTTTATTTTTCATAATATTTAAGTCCGGAACTATAAATGCTATTCCAATTTTACCATTTACCATTTTAGAAGCATCCGTATATATTTGTAGAAATTCAGGGAAAAACTCCTTCATGAGGAAGAAACCTTTAGCAGAACCAGGCTCAGGACAAGAGGACCATCTGCTTCAAACGAGGAGGAACAGATACACAATGGCAGGTCGAGAATCACATGTTAAGATAGAAATAGTATCAAATGAAAATATTCAAATTCTATAATTCACATATTAGTGTGAGTTACCATTAATATGTTGATAGTGATTACGCAGTAAATTTATACTAAACAAAGTACTGTGTTTTGCAACACAGCATTAGTGCTTAGTGTATTAGATCTTTTAGCGTGTCGTTTAGCGTATATCTTAGTGTATATCTTGGATCCTAATTTAATGTTTCTTTTTACACTTTATATTTTTGCTTATGCTGGTTGTAACTGGGATCCAGTGTACATATTTTTGTTCCACCTCATGTACCATATGGTGAAATGACAATAAACCTATTTGAACTCGAACCTACTTATCGTTTTGGTACCGCCAAACAGAACTGCTGTAGTACTGTGGTATCAGTAGTACTTTTAATTAACATGCATAATTTAAAAAGTTATAATAATATAGTGTAATTCATATAGTATGCAGCAGGTTAATGTTCTGTGTGCGGTTGTGCCGCAGTGCGCATGCTCAACACTAGCAGTAGCCGTTAGCAGTGCGGGCTAACAGCCGGAGTGTGTAATGGCGGCCTCGGTGTTATTGGGGTCTGCGGAAAACACCGGACTCCACTTCACGGTCGGAGCTGGCGGCAGCAGCGGGACTACCCACATAGGGAACGCCAACGGACTGGGGCAGGCATGTCCGGCATCGTGGAACCGTTCTCTGGAGCGGGCGCTGGACGAAGCTTCGGTAACCGGGTGTGTGAACCTGAGCGGCAGGAAGCTGAAGGAGTTTCCCCGGAGTGCTGCCAACCACGACCTGACGGACACAGTCAGGGCCGGTAAGTGAGCCCCACAGCCTCCACCAGACCCACAGAGACGGACCGGTCTCTGTTGGGTACCAACAGAAAACGTGGAACCGTTTTTGTCCGGATTTAACTGCGAGAAAAGTTGAATTAAACTTCTTAGGTCCAGAGGATGATGGAAAACCGAACGGGCCGGTGTTGTGGTAAACATTGCACCCCTGTGAAATGATGTCCTCCCGCCGCCCGGTTGGGCAAATGTCTGACCACCAGCAGCACCAGAACAGTGTTGTAAATAAATCCTGTTGTCAGAGGCTTGTTTGACTCCAACATGTTAGTTTTTGAGACAGACGTGCGCGACGGAGGAAGCTAAAATAACATCCGCTAACTTTGACAGATTTATTTACACAGGGCTCATCTAGAGCTGTGCTAGCGGATGTAAACAATGTCTCGGCTCTGGATTCTTGTGTTTCGGTGTGAAGTGGGTTGTCTCCAGGTGAAGGCGGACGGGACGCTGGATTTCCGGGGTAACGGTTTGCGACAGGACACCGCTATAGCATGCTAACGCTGAAACGGTGATAAAACACAGCTAAAAGATCGTTTCTGTAAACTGCTGGTTCAGGATTCGGTTCTGGTACTGGATCATCAGGAGGCGGGGATAGCCTCACCCTGGCTGTGACGTCACGAAAGGTGAAAGGACACCTGTGTTTGTGCTTTGTTTTGTTTTTAACGTCTATTGTAGCTCCGCCCTCGCGGACGGTATGGGATTGCAAACAAACGGATATCAGATGATGGGCACCAGTGACCCCGCGACAAGCGGGTAAAGATAATGGATGGATGGATGGATGGATGGATGGATTATTCCTCACAAGGGACCTGACAGGAGCTGACATCAGACTTCAAGACCCACATCCAACTGTCTGTCCTTCTAACCATCCATCCATTTATACATCCATCTTCTTCTTTCGGCTTTTTCCTCTTCAGGGGTTGCTACAGCGAGTCAGTTTATATATCCGTCATCAATCCAATTATCCATCCATCCAACCATCATTCATCTATCCATTCAAACCTCCATTCAAACCTTTGTCCATCCATCCATCTATTTATATCCATCATCCATCCAACTATCCATCCAATCATCATCCATATATCCATCCAACCCTTTGTCCATCTATCCATACATTCATCCAACCATCATCTATCCATCTGTCCATCCATCTATTTATACATCCATATTTTTTTCCGTCTAACCATCCAGCCATTATCCATCTGTCCATCCAATTCATTCATTCAACCTTTATTTATACAGTTTAATCCCATTGAACAATGGGGACTGACTTACAAGAGAGACCTGAATTTTAACAAAGAATGATGACAACAATAGACAATTACAAAGGATGCGTACACATTTTTTATTTATTTTTGGTTTTTAACAAGTGAAAATAAAATAGTAATTAAAAAGAACAAAGTCCATGCTCAATAATAATTAATAAGTAATTAAAAAGGATAATGTCTGCATTGTTTTTTTCCAGGATCTTGTCAGATGTTTGAAGCCACTTAGAGAGGTCAAAGGTCGAGAGCTTCAGATCTTTTTGCAAGATATTCCAGGAAACAGGAGCGGAGTAAGAGAAGGTCCTTTTGTCTAGTTCAGTCCTCACTGAGGGAACACTGCAGGTAATGATGTCCTGAGAGTGCACGCTGTAGCTGCACTCACGCAGAGACATGTAGGAGGAGATGTATGAAGGCAACAGACCAAGAAGTGATTTAAAGATGAAGATGTACCAGTGAGAGAGTCTGCGTGAAGTTAATGGTGACCAGTTAACCAGTGAATACTGGGTGCAGTGGTGGGTACGGTAGTTACAGCCAGTTATGAATCTTAGTGCACCATGATAGACAGCATCCAACATCTGCAGGGTTCTTGTAGGAGCGTTCATGTAAATAATGTCACCGTAATCAATGGAGGGAAGGAAAGTCACAGATACAAGGTGTTTCCTAACATTCAGAGTTAGACAGGATCTGTTTCTTAAAAAGAAACCAGTTTAACTTTCAGTTTCTTTACCAAGTTTTCATGTGGAGTTAAAAGAGAGATGTGAGTCGACCAAGATACCCAAGTATATACCTGGATATCCAATCAGCCATTCATCCAACCGTCATCTCCATTCAACCATCTGTCCATCCATCCATTTATTTATAATCCATCTAACCATCCAGTCATTATCCATCCATCATTCATCTATTTATACATTTGTTCAACCTTTATTTCTACAGGTTAGTCTCACTGAGTCACGAGGACTCGTTTACAAGAGAGACCTGATTTAAACAAAGAACACAGATGAAGTACAGACAACAATAGACAATCATATAAAAATCATATAAAATGAAAATTAATTAGAATAAACAGCTACATTATACAGCGATGTCAAATACTAAACACAGGAACACGTCTGCGTTGGTTTTTACCATGAACTTAACAGATGTTTAAAACCCCTTAGAGAGATCAAAGTCAACAACTACAACTAATACATCCATCATCCATCCAACCAATCATCCAACCATCATCTACCATCTGTGGATGATGGGTTGATGGATGACTATCATCTATCCATCTAACCATCCTTCCAACCTTCTTTTATTCATCCATCCATTTATTCATAATCCATCCAACCATTATCCTTCTAGCCTTCCATCCATCATTCATCAAAACATCGTCTATCCATCCAACTATCCATCTATTTATACATCCATCATTTGTCCATTCATTCAGTTTCTAACAGTAACAGAATGTTTGGGTTTGTGAGACGTTTAGACTAAAATACCCTCGAGTCCGAGCTGCAGGATCATTAAACTGGTTCAAAACCAGCTCTTGTCTCGGTGTTTTCCAGATGCTCCTGGAGATGTTTTCATTGACAAACCCAACAGCAGGAAGTGATCCTGGTTGTTCAGGACACTTCCTGTGTTTGGAGACGAGTGAGTGAGCATCCCTGGCTGCCATGCAGCAGGAAGCCGAGGTTACCATGGCGACGAGTTCTTCCTGCTGTCCAGGTGCTCTGATAAATTTAGAGTCCGTGGGTTCGTTTCCTGTTGCTGCTGGAGGTGTTGAAGCGTTTGTTCTTGAGCGGTGTCCCATTAAAACAGCCAGAATCTGAGATGAATCGTGATAAACTTCTGAGCTTACAAAATCAACAAGATACATTCTGTTTTATGATTTATTCATTATATTGATAGATTAGATGCATTCATGATGTTTTCTTTGTATTAATTTATATTTACAGAAACAGTGCGAATGCTGTGCGCTGAGTCAACTTGCTGGAGCCAAAACTGAGTCACTCGAGCTACTGCTAATAGCAGAGTCTAAGAAGTAAAACTGTAGCTAAAGCATAAAATTAGCTGAACATTAGCTAAAAGCTATACTTAGCACAAGACATATAAAGCCAGTTAGCTGAAGCAAATGTCAAAAAGAGCAGTGGATTGGAGGAATTGAAAAGACTTGTGTATTTTTATTTATTTTGTTAAATTAAAAAAGCATAAAAGTTTCAAATAGTAAGTCACAGAACTGTTCCTGATCGAGCTGAACTTTCTGGTGAACAGCCGGTTAAAAAAACACAAAGTTATTAGTCAAGTCAGATTTATTGATATAGCACATTTAAAACAGGAACTGTTACCAAAGTGCTTAACAAAAAGATCACAGCATCAAATAAAAAGTAACAAGGTAGAATTACAAATTACATTTAGAACCAGCTTGGGTCCAAAAACATACAGAAGAAACTGTAAACCATAAAACGCTGACTCAGCATTCAGACAGGTAAAGGCACTGAATGCATATCACCCGCTACCCTTTACGCCAGCGTTTTAACATAAAATTGTTTTATTTTGATCAAACCTTGAAAGTAACTTGTGATTTCATGAGAACTCGACCCATCAGTTAGCTCTAGGAATGTGTGTTGGAGATGAATCTCAGCTACTACCACACCAGGTTTAGGTCAGTATCAGTAAAACTTTCTGAGGTAGATAATTATTTTGTGTTTTCCAGGGTTGTGGTACTCCTTTTAAATCGCGTTGACTCGCAAAGTTAATCACATGTACAACAGTGATTACCATGCAACTTAAACAAAAGTCCATCCACAGCCTCATGAGATATTTTGCTAACAGAAACGCAACGAGTGGGCAATAAAAAGACCGCTTTCCACCTGAACATTTTGATTTTTTCATCTTTCCAGGAAGCTGATTGGTTGAGATGTGTTGTGTTGACAGGTGTGACCTCAGGTTAGGGTTCCAGCATCGGTTACCATGGTAACAGACCCAGGTACAATATGGGTCCCTGAACCAAACCTGATGCTACCTGGATAAGACCCTAATTCTCCTGATTAGAACCAAACCTGAACCCTGTCCGTGTCCTCAGATCTGTCTCGGAACCGCCTGTCGGAGCTGCCTCTGGAGGTGTGCGTCTTCGTGTCTCTGGAGTATCTGAACCTGTACCAGAACTGTCTGAGGTCCCTGCCCGACAGCCTCCTGAACCTGCAGGCGCTCACCTACCTGAACCTCAGGTGAGTCTCTCACACAGACTGTTGGGTTCTTATGGTACCGTGTGGTTCTGCAGGCAGGCAAGAACATCAGAGTGCCCTGAGAAATGTTTGAGATGAGTTGGATGTTCTGGAAAACCCATCCAGAACCGCTCCATACCCAGTCAGGTTAGTCACAGAGATTCTGACCCGTCTGTCTGACTCCTCCCCTCCAGTCGGAACCAGCTGTCGGTTCTCCCGCCCGTCCTCTGCAGCCTCCCTCTGAAGGTTCTGGTTGCCTCCAACAACAAACTGGTTTCTCTGCCAGAAGAACTGGGTCAACTGAGACTGCTCACTGAGCTGGTCAGTGTGTTCCCCTGCAGACGGATTGATGATGACTCCATCAGATTGGGTATCAGTTACTGATCACCTGTGATTATTGATGTTTTGGTTGGCCGCTGCAGGATGTGAGCTGTAATGAGATCCAGACGTTACCGTCCCATGTGGGTCAGCTGGAGGCTCTGAGAGACCTGAACATCAGGAGGAACCACCTGATCCAGTTGCCTCCAGGTATGCACACACAGATCTGTTGGGAGCTGAAACAGAACCCCAGGATGGGTCTGGATCCGAGTCATGTGCCTGTTTGTGTTCAGAGCTGGCCGAGCTTCCTCTGGTGCGTCTGGACTTCTCCTGCAACAAAGTGACCTCCATCCCCGTCTGTTACCGACGCCTCACACAGCTGCAGGCCATCGTCCTCGACAACAACCCGCTGCAGAGCCCACCTGCACAGGTATGCAGGACTTGATGTCGCATCAGCCTCCCAGCTGCTAAGGTTTACCACACTGCTTCCTGTCTGCAGATCTGCATCAAAGGGAAGGTCCACATCTTCAAATACCTGAACCTGGAGGCCAGCAAGATGACACCGGAGCTGCCCGAATATGACAGGCGGCCTCTGACCTCCTGGTCTGACCTCTCACACACACACAGTACTGCCTTTTCAAAATAAAAGCATGATTTACTGACTGCAGCTCTGTCCTGTCAGTGCTGACGATGTGTTCGCCGGCCGGCTGTACGGCGCGCTCGACTCCGGCTTCAACAGCGTTGACAGCGGAGACAAGAGATGGCTGGGCAACGAGGTCAGGCATCTGTCATGTTTTAAGCCACTGGTAAAATCTCTGGTATGCTGCTGCACTTCATTTAAAACACACTTTGTGCTGATAAAGTAACTGTCTCAGACATTTGTGAAAGATCAGACACTGAGTGTGATGTAGACGATGTGTTGGAGTTCACCTCAGGTTTAATCCGTCTTTAACGAAGCCTCCTGTCTGTTCGCTCAGCCTTCAGAGGAGCTGTCAGAGCTGCCGAGCAGAGTGGCCGAGATCAGCAAAGACCAAAGACGAAGTGGAGGACCCTCGCTGCCTAACGGGACCTGTGAGAGTTTCTCCTCTGACCTCAGCTCCATGTTCACATTGGTCCAGATTTTCATCTTCTCGTCTGTCTGTCTTCAGATGTGGAGCTGGAGCAGATAGACTTCATTGACAGCTGCGTGGAGGAGGAGGAGGAGGGGAAGAGTCGAGGAGGAAGAGACAGCAGCAGCCTCAGCTCTCAGTTCATGGCCTACATCGAGAGACGCATCACTAGAGAGGTAGGAGCAAGATTTTTGACCTTCTGTAACTCAGAGCTTTTAAGTTGGGACACAGTCTCTTTACACACTTGTAAAAGTAGCACGTTATTGTGAAAAACCTCTTACTTCCTGTCTGTGTTCTTAGGGTTCTCCTGTAAAGCACAACCTGTCCCGGACAGAAGACGCAAAGAGACACAGCAGGTGCAAACAGTAAACCAGTCCAGTCCACATTCACCTGTGTGTCCCCACTTCCTGTCTGACTTCCTGTCTGTCCTGTCTTACAGGAGTGTGGTTGATGGTGTAACAGCCCCTTCTAGTTCCCACAGTCAGGTACAACATTCTGCCTGTCAAATACAAAACCTCTTGAGATGAACCTGACTGGGAACCATCGGGCTCATTTTCTCTGTTCGTCCCACTCAGAGAGGAGGTTCTGGAGGTGTGGAGAGGATGAGGAGGGAAGCTCAGCTCGCCGCTCTGAGGTACGACGAAGAGAGGCAAAAAAAACGTTCTTTGCAGAGAGACAATGCCTCCAGCTACACGAAGGTATGACCAGTTTAACCATTGAATTCACCAGTTTAACCTGCAGGGTTTTTTTACCTTCCGCTCATCAGTAGCTGTTGTTGTTTTCTAGCATAAAGCTGCTCAGGGTTCTACGAAGTCCAGTCCAGATTCTGAGGTGAGTGTCCCCTCAGTTTGATGTTGTGGTTGTCCTCCTCTCTGAGCCAGTCTACCTGACTATCTGCCATTACTCCCGTCTTTACTCTTATCTTACTCTTCACATCTTTGCTCGGTTATGATTAAACCAACTGTGTAGCACCGCCCCCTTATTTAGACCACACCCTTTAGCACACGTGTTCGCCTTCATGTGTCAGTTATTTCATTGTTTGTGTGTCTGTGATGTTTGTCTTTAGAATGTCTACCCCTCCAGACGCTGCACCCACACTGATGACTCTGCCCTTATTGTGGTAAGCATTTGACCCCACCCCAAAATTCCACTGATCTTTTCCAAACTAGAAGCAGACCGGAATCGTTCATCGTCCTATTTCACCGCTCCGTTGACAGAACGTAACGTGCTGGTTTCCACACCTGTCCACATGTCATCACTGCTGTTTGAGCTCTGCACCTTCTGTCCATCTCCCTTCTGCTTTTCCTGTTGATGCTTCCTTTTACGACACATTTATTTCCTTACCTTAGTCACAAAAATGCCACACCAATAATCTTCTGCCTTTTGTGTGGGCTAACGTATCGTGTGCACACTAATTAAATTTTTATGTATATGAATGTTTCTGTTCAGTGCCCTGAGATAACTTCTGTTATGACTTGTCGCTATATAAATAAACTGAATTGAAATGTTGAGCCAAGACATGAACGCTCAACTATCCAGACTGACTGGATCTCCTGGGATTCATTTAGGAATCAGGAGATGAAAAAATACGTCCCATATACAAAAAAAATTACTGAACCAGGAAATTACTGCTACTTTAGGTCACGTTAGCTAGTTTCAGAGCAACAAACGGTTTATTTTAAAGATAAAAATATCAATTTGTAGTTTGTCATGTTGATTATTTGAGTTTGGTTTGAGCTTTTTTAACGATCTGGGTTTTACCGTTCTGACACGTACAATGTTAGAACTAAAGTCGGCTGGATTTGTAAATCGGTATAACTGTTGGCAGTTTTTTGTAAGTGTTCACTCCAAAGTCCTGGGGTTCATGAAGGCAGCGCTGCAGGTTTCAGAGATGATCGGTGCTCGGAGGAGAGAGAACCTCTGTGGGTTCAAGTTTAGGATAAAAGATGAGCAGGTAGGCGAGGAGCATCCTGCTTTCAGGTGTATTCAGGTCTTCTGGACACAGGGGAGTCCAGGTGTGCTCATGTCTGTAACTGTAGTCCAGGTGTGTTCAGGTGTGTTCATGTGCACCTGTGTTGTGTCTCAGCAGGGGGAGGACAGAGCTGCTCTCTCCCCTACAGGTAAGAATAACACCTTGACTCATTAACACTTGAATCACCCACATACGTTTTCACTTCTTTTTTTTTCACTCCTTTCAGCCAATCAGTCGCCTTCTTACCCCAGCCCTGGGGGCGGGGCCTCCTGTCGGCCAACCAGTGGGCGTCCTGAGAGCTTCCTGTACCGCCTCGGCCAGAGAGAAGACAAGAGGAAAGGTGTGTGTTCGCCGAGGCATTGTGATCATATTCACCTGTCAAGTGTGCAGCACGTGACTCCTCCCCCTCTATCCTGCAGGAGATGCCACTGCTGCTGTGCCTCCTCAGAGCCAGGAGGAGGCTCCTGCAGCTCCTCCTCTGCTTGGAGAAGATGCTGAAGTGGTGGAGCAGCTCAGAAAGGTGCCTCCTACACGCTCCTCCTGCCCAGATGTGCCGTGGTTTGTTCATGACCAGCTGTCTCTCCCTGTCCAGAACATCGAGGCCCGCCTTAAGGTGTCGCTGCCTAGTGACCTGGGAGCAGCTCTGACGGATGGGGTAGTGCTGTGTCACCTGGCCAATCACGTAAAGCCACGGTCCGTCCCCAGCATCCACGTCCCCTCCCCCGCTGTGGTGAGTGTCTCTGATTGGACAGACCGTTGGAGTCGCTGCTGGCGACAACCTGCTGATCTCTGCGTCTCCACTCCCGCAGCCTAAACTCACCATGGCCAAGTGTCGCCGCAACGTAGAGAACTTCCTGGAGGCGTGTCGCAGGATCGGAGTCCCACAGGTAACACACACCTGAGTGACAGCAAGGGGAATGAATCCAAACGTCCCGTGCCTTAAAACAGTCCATCTGTCCAATCTAAACTGGCAGCTGAGGGTACGACCGTCTGCACTGATGAAGTTATCGTCGTCTTCGTCACGATGCTCTGCAGATGTGGTGCTGGACCAGTTTATTCCAGTTTATACCAGTAAAAACACCAACTGTACTTTATGAACAAAGTTTATTTCACAGCAGCAGATTTCAGTAATCCAGGATAAAGCTGAGCTTGGTCAAACCTCATCAGAAGATTGTGAATTATTCTGTCAAAACTGAGCTGCTTCATCTGTATCTACTGTAAAGCCTGGTTTACCTAATCCAGCTAATTTATCCAGCCATCTTCATAAAGTCATGAGTTCAATCCAGATTAACTAATCCTGACATGAAACTGTATGATTCTTGTCACACCTGAAGCGATCAAAATATAAAATGATTTTTATGAGGCTGAATTTAAAAAGAAAACTCAGCTTTAATTAGAAAAGCTCGTAAATATTTAAAAAACTAGCTTCTCTTTTTTTAATCCTAAATTTCCATAAAATGTTTCAGAATTTACACCAAAACCCGGAATACTAAAAATATAAACCTGTCAACTTTGCTGAGTTCCTCAAACAAGTGAAACTTAATTGAGTTGGGTGTGGGGTTGCGAGCTATGTCTGGATTAACTAAATCTGACTGATAGCCGGGTTTGGATTACCTAAATCTGACTGATAGCCGGGTTTGGATTACCTAAACCAGGCTTTTTGCCGGGTCTGGATTACATAAATCTAACTGATAGCTGGGTCTGGTGGTTAAACTTAACCTGACTGTTAGCGGGATCTGGATTAATTTAACTTGACTGATAGCCTGGTCTGGATTAACTTGACCTGATTTATAACCTGGTCTGGGTTAATTTCACCTGACTGCTAGCCGGGTCTAGATTAATTTAACCTGGCAGCTAGCCGGGTCTGGATTAAATAAACCAGGCTGTCAGCCGGGTCTGGATTACGTACATATGACTGATAGCCGGGTCTGGATGAACTAAACCTGACTAATAGCTAGGTCTGTATTAACTTAACTAGGTTGTTAGCCTGGTCTAGATTAACTAAACCTGGTTATAAGCCTGGTTTGAAGTTTTATGTTACAGCTACAGCGAGAACAGAAAGTGACTTGAAGATAGAAAGAAAGGAGAGATTTTAAAAAGAAAAACAAGAACATTAACAGGTTAACTTTGAGTGGTGATGTCTGGATTAAACAGGTTAACTTTGAGTGGTGATGTCTGGATTAAACTGGCTAACTTTGAGATGTGATGTCTGGATTAAACAGGCTAATTTGAGTTGTGATGTCTGGATTAAACAGGTTAACTTTGAGTTGTGATGTCTGGATTAAACAGGTTAACTGAGTGGTGATGTCTATATTAAACAGGCTAACTTTGAGTGGTGCTGTCTGGATTAAACAGGTTAACTTTGAGTTGTGATGTCTGGATTAAACAGGCTAACTCTGAGTTGTGATGTCTGGATTAAACAGGCTAACTCTGAGTTGTGATGTCTGGATTAAACAGGTTAACTTTGAGTTGGGATGTCTGGATTAAACAGGCTAACTCTGAGTTGTGATGTCTGGATTAAACAGGTTAACTCTGAGTGGTGATGTCTATATTAAACAGGCTAACTTTGAGTGGTGCTGTCTGGATTAAACAGGTTAACTTTGAGTTGTGATGTCTGGATTAAACAGGCTAACTCTGAGTTGTGATGTCTGGATTAAACAGGTTAACTCTGAGTTGGGATGTCTGGATTAAACAGGTTAACTTTGAGTTGGGATGTCTGGATTAAACAGGCTAACTTTGAGTGGTGATATCTGGATTAAACAGGTTAACTCTGAGTTGGGATGTCTGGATTAAACAGGTTAACTCTGAGTTGTGATGTCTGGATTAAACAGGTTAACTCTGAGTTGGGATGTCTGGATTAAACAGGTTAACTCTGAGTTGGGATGTCTGGATTAAACAGGTTAACTCTGAGTGGTGATGTCTGGATTAAACAGGTTAACTCTGAGTGGTGATGTCTGGATTAAACAGGTTAACTCTGAGTGGTGATGTCTGGATTAAACAGGTTAACTCTGAGTTGGGATGTTTAAATTCAGTCTTAAATCTGAAACTAATGAATATTCTTCTAAACTAACAACTTTCTTTCCTCTCTTTCATCATTTGTTCTCTGTCTCACCGTTCATATTTTATCCTCCACCGTGTCCATCTCACCAAACACAAACACTCAGGACCGTCTCTGTTCAGTGGGGGACATACTGGACAGAAAAGGGGGTGTGGTCTATGAGACACTGGATGCATTGCTCACCATGGCCCCTCTTGCTGTTAGACCTTCTCTTCAGGTCCAGTTGGCTGGCTTCGCCCTCTTTTACCTGTCCATCATGTCGGCGCTGTGCGCCATCTACGTTCACCTGACACCGCAGGTCTGAGGACGACCCGATATGCCGAATGGAATACTTGTATATTGCTACAATCGTCCTCCAGACATGTCCTCCAGACATGTCCTCCACAGTCTTCATCAATGTTCAGCACAAACGTTTTCCACAAACGTTTACAAAGGTTGAGCAGAAACGTTCACTGCAGTTGTCCTCCACAAACATTCAGCACAACATATTCAGAACAAACAACTAATATTGTCCGCGGCTGATGTCCATTCCTAACGTCCACCACTAATGTCCTCTCTACAAATGTCCAACAAAAATATCCACTGCTAATGTTCTCTGCAAATGTGCAGCACAATATATTTAGCACAGATGTCCCCCAATATTGTCCATCACTATGTCCTCCATTATTGTCCTCAACAAACGTTCAGCACAAATTGATGAGCACAAACATCCACCATTAATGTCCTCTACAAACGTCCTTCACAACTGTCCTTTACAAACATACACCTCAAATGTCCACAGCTAAGGTTCTTCACAAACGTTCAGTGCAAATGTGCAACGTAAGATAGAACTTTATTGATCCCGCAGGAAATCGTTGTGCCAGAGTTTCAGTACAAAGGAACAGACACAAGGAGTCACACAAGTTATAAACAATAAAAAATAATTCAATAAATAAATAAATGCCCTCCACTAATGTCTTCTACAAACATCCTACACTGAATTCCTCCAACATCCTTTGCAAAGGTCTAAAAATGTCCACTGTTAATGTCCAACACCAACGTCTACTGCTCCACAAACATTCTCAACAAATGTCCCCCGCTATTGTCATCCACAGGACAACGTCCACCATTAATGTCCTCCGCAAACGCTCAGTGCAGTAATGAAATAAACTTGCAGCACTCTTTTGTAGAAATAGATATTTGAAAGTTAAGCTGAATCACTCAGAACCAGAGGTGTTGAGCACAGGCTGGTTCTGACTCGTCCGTCTGGTTTCTGGCGTTCATTCTGTACAGAACAGTTTTCCTGATATCTTTTTCTAAAATCACATCCCCATAGATGGACTGGACTGGTGGTGACTGATGATACAGAATCCTCCAGAATTTTGGAAGATGTCCTTCAGCAAATGTTATCTTTAATAAGAATAGCTTATTTCTACCAACCCCATTCCTGCAGAGGTTCTGAAGAACTGTTGGTCCAACAGGGATGGATGATACTTCCAGCCGTCCATCCTTTAGACCCAGATTTTTGAGTGACTTTAATAGTACCTACAGTCAGACCTTCAGACTACTCCAGAGTAGTTTCTCTGTCCAGAAGTCGGACCAATCTTGTGTTTGTTCTCAGATTAAAGAAATTTACCTGGAAATCCATTTGAAGCAAAGCTGGAGTTGATTTGTTGGACAGATTAAGATCAGAAATCTGATCCACGATGATGCTTTATGAGGGTTGTTTGGACTCTATACAGTCACTCGGTAAAGAAAGTAGCATACAACACATGTCAAACCAGCTGGTGCCATGAAGTGGGCCTGTATGCTACTGGATGTGGAACCATCATGACATGGAGTAGTGGCAGCAGCCAACCAGGTTACAGGACAGAAGGTGGGCCGTCCAATAGTAAGTTGTTCACGGCCTGGATTGAAACATGTTTGTTCTAACTGTAACTTGTCAGTACTGAGCAGCTGTATTTCCATATTGGGAACTGTTCTTTAACTGGATTGTCACATTCCATGTTCGACTGGGACTAGTCAGTTTAGACTGGAATCTGTTGTTTGTCTGGTCTTGGTTTTGAGTCCAACTCTAGAGCTATAGGTGGACAGGAAGCTGTAACAGGATGTGGTCAGGCTCATCTAAGTGAGTGCATCTATGATATAGAGCTATCTGAGTCGAGCCAGATCAGGTGACACATCCCTGAAGTTTGTTACCTGCCTGCGAACGCTCCGCCCACTGAGTTCTTACTACTGACACCCACAGTGTCTGTTAAAGCTCCGCCTCCAGGTACCTGCTAAAGCTTCACCTGTATTGAAGAAGCCCCACCTCCTGGTGCTAGTCAAAGCTTTTCCATAGTTAAAGTAGCCCCGCCTCCCGGTGCCTGCCATAGCTCCACCCTTTGGTGCCTGATTCATTGGCCCTGCATACTCCATCTGAAGCGGTGAAATCGTCTCTCACTGACGTAGTTGCTTGACGAAAATCGCATCGTTTTGTTGTCGGAGTAGCTTCGCCTGCTCCTCCTCAACACCGGGCCCGGACCGAACTGTTCCCCACTGGTGAATGCACCAAGTGTTGTGTGACTGGTCAGAAGTTTCAGCTCTATGACTCTTCAAACACTAAATTAGTCCAGTGGACAAAAACTCCTGGATGGAGATCGTGCACACATCGTGCACGGAGGAGTCAGTCTGCTGAAAAGTGTGGCGCTCGCTTCATGATAGATCTGTGGCCGAACGGCGGCTGCAGGGACGGAGTGGAGACTCTGGTGGGAAGAAACCTGGGTGACGTATGCTGCAGGGGGCGGGGTTTCCCAAGATGCACCTGTGTGTTGTGGAGTAGAAGGATGCGTGCGACCACGAACGTCCTGCAGCCACGTGACCGCGAGCTGACTGTTGGACTTCGGATGGAGTATTCTGGGACCTTAAGCGTTGCCTCCTGTTATTGAAGCCCCACCTCCTGGCGCCTGACCAAACTCCACCCTAGATACTGGAGCTTGACCTCCACTTTGTTGACCCCCACCCTCAACAAAGAAGCCCCGCCCCCTGGTGCCTTATGTTCTGAATGTTTTTGGTTTTAATGTGTGGAGAGGATCAGAACCGAACAGCCCACTGCGACTTTGTCTTTGAGTGATGTGTTCATCTCAGACCGTTTGTGAAACCAGAACCTGCCGTGTTCGAAGTGCCATTAGTTCTCCTTTTACTTCTGCTGCTCTTTGTACGTGTTCAGACCCAGGTCTTTGACCCAGTTCTGGGTTAAGAGTCCGGTTCAGTTGCTGAACCTTGAATAATAATTTGATTAGGTTCACTGAAATGTTTTTTGGTGCTGTGATAAAATCTGAAATTTGAACGGGCTTTGAGCTCTGTCCCACCAACACCAAGTCCAGGCCACGTCTGTGGTTTCTACTGAGCCCAGTTCAACCATGACCCGGTCCATGGACGTGTTGTGCTTCTGAATTCTCATGTTTTGACCCACTGCTTTTCTTACGGTGTTTATAAATCACAGAAACATTTAGAGAATTTCACACCAAAGAGTTCAAACGGGCCTTTACAAGTCCAGTTTCTGTTCTAGTATGACTCAGTTAAAGTTCTTGCGGTGAATATGGACCTGTGTGGTTCTGGTCAATCTGGACTGGAGTGTAAAAATTTAACAGGTTTTAGATTTTAACAGAAGAAAGCTGAGGACTTTTATAAACTGCTGGTGTGTGTCGGAGCGTGGCTCGGTTCTTGTTTTGAATAAAAGTGGTAAAAACACCTGGACTCCTTGCGTTTCTTTAAGACTCACCTGAGGAAGTCATGTGACTAACTTAAAGCAGAACCGCTGGGTTCTGAACCCTCACCACGGTGCTGGCGGCAGGAACTGAAGCACAAAGTTTTCATAGAGTTGAAGTTGGATCCACCGGTTTGGTTACACTACATTTCCCATCAGCCTCTGCTCTCAGTAGATCAAAGAACCATTCTGCAGTTTGTGACCTTTACATCTTTCCTCTCCATCACTTTTCCACCTTTTTCCTCTTTTTTTATGTTGCCATGATTACAGTTATTTTATTCGTTATTTTAATTTGCCATCTGTTGACCTACCTTTCTGTTGTCCCCGCCCCTTTTCTGTTGTCCCCGCCCTTTGTTGGGTTCTTCTTCTGTGGTGTCTTGTCTGTGCAGAGTAAGTTGTGTCTTCCTCTTCATATCTTGGAGGAGCAAGGGCTCCCCCAGGTGGCTGGAACCGTCAGCGCGCTGCTCGACTTGGCCCCGCCCCGACAGTCCACCCCCACGACGGCACTGGCGCCTGGACCCGTTTTCATTTAGACGCCGTCGCTGCACGCGCTCATGAGGCCTCCCGAAACGCCTGCAGCCAATCGGAGCTCATCGTGTTCCAACGACGTGTGATGTCATCAGGATACAAGAATGTAAACAAATGATGTCAACCAACAGGAAGAATTACCTGTCTGGGTTCTGGTCCAGATGGGTCAGAACCACTGGTCCTTCTGGTTCAGATGTGTCAGTAAGAGAAGAAAATAATGTTTTAATTTTATTAAGAAATCCACAAAACAACAGAAATCTTTACAGTTGGGACTCGGTTTGTTTTTTTAAAACCGTTTTGGCTCCAGTTCACCTCCCAGGTTAAACAACAGAAACGGGCTTCCATAGAACCACTTCAGAACCCGAGTCAGGATGTGGTCCCACTCCACTGATACGAGCAGGAGCGAGAACCTGCTGAGAGCCTCATCATGTGGTTCTGATGGAGACGAGAACAAGCCTGATCATAAACGGGTCACGTGACCGAACCCGCTGCATCGTCGAACGTTCTCTGTGGTTCTGAGGACACGTTAAAAACATGTTACAACATGTGTTTTTGTCCCAAACCCAGAGTTCCATCATGTCTGAGAAACCAACCATGATGATTAAAACAAAAAGTTTAAAACTGAGCAGGATTTGCACATAACAATAATAATCTTTAAATGTTAGAGCAATACCGTCTTTATTCATCTACAGGATGTTAAAATTAGTTTGTCTACAAAACGTTTTATATGAAGAAAAGAAAGTTTTAACTAAAATTAACTATTTTTATACATGCATGTTATGTATCTGTCACAGTTTTTTGTTAAGACATAAAATTATAGCTTTAAAAAAACCCAACTAGTAACGATAATTTAACTTTGCAGATTTAGTTTTTAATAATTTCAGAAAACATTTTAATATCTTGTAAAGTTTTTTTTGATATTTCAATCACAAATATTAAATATCAATTAATGCTAACATTTAGTGTTAAGTTATAAAATACATTAATACATTCCAAAGTCTTTAATGAAAATATAAAAACACAAAACTAAGAGTTTTATAACAAAATGC